ATTTCCTGAGCTTTAGGCCTATAGAGGAAGTTCTTTCCTACGTCTACATGTTGGAGTGTTGACACTACATTTTCTTCAAGAAGTTGCAWAGTTTCTGGTCTAACTCCTAGGTCTTTGATTCATATCAAAATCATTTTGAATTGACTTTTCTGCGGGGTGAGAGATGAGGTTCTAGTCTCATTCTTTTACACACGGATAACTAGTTTTCCTACCACTATTTGTTAAAAAGGCTGTCTTTTCTCTCAACATGTTTTTGGCACCTTAGTCAAGGTTGAGATGACTGTACTACTGTGGGTTTGTCTCTGTTTATTCTGTTCTGTTCCATTGATCTATATCTCTGTTTTTTTATATCAATACGTTATAGATTTTGTTGCTCCGGAGTATAATTTGAATTGTTATGCCTCCAGCCTGGATTTTTTAGATTAGAATTGCTTTGGTTATTCTGGGTCATTTATTCTTCCAAATGAATTATGGACAGTTTTTTTTCCTTTTCTTTCTAGTAACGTAAAATATATCATTGGTATTTTGATAGGGATTATATTGAATCTGTATATGTTTTTGGTAGTATGCCATTTTAACAATATCAATTCTGCGTATGCTTGAACATGGGAGTCTTTTCATCTTCTGGTGTCTTCTTCAATTCTTTCCTTAGTGTTCTATACTTTTCACTGTAGAGGTCTTTTATCTCYTTGGTTAGATTTATTCCTAGGTATTTTATTTTTAAGGTCTATTTTGAATGGGATTTTTTTTTCCTGATTTATTTTTCAGCAAATTCATCATTGTTATATAGGAAAGCTTTTGATTTKTTTTAATGTTGATTTTGCATCCTGATATGACTATTACTCTTCATTGACCAGATCAATTGAGTTAAGTTTTGTTTATGGAAGATTATATAGAATTATTAGAAAAATTTCGCCTATGAATTCTTCTTTATAAGCTCAAAAATAGTACCTATTCAGTATCAGGAAGGCACAGGTTTGAATTATGATATGCTGGCTAAACCTGATTTTCTGGGTATATCCAGATAGCAAATGTGTGCTAACACATAGTAGTACAATTTGAGATATAGAATATGTTTTATTTTTATTACATGTGGGTGAATCTTGCAAGCCTAGATTTATTAGTGCCTGAGTTTACATTTGAATGACCATTTACTATTTTTGTATTTTGATTCCAATAGTTTTTCTTTGAATTAAAWWWWTTTTTTTTTTTTTTTTTAGTTGTAGACGGACACAATCTTTACTTTTTATGTGGTGCTGAGGATCAAACTCAGTGCCTTATGTATACAAGGCAAGTGCTCTACTTCTTAGCTATAACCCCAGCCCTATTTTTTCTTTCTTTCTTTTTTTTTTTACTGGAATTGTTGTTCACTTATAAGATTTTAAATGAGGCAGATGAGAAAGTAGAGAGTGAAAAGCACTGAGCTGAAGTTAGAGGAAACTTCTGTTTTAAACCTAATTTACATTTTTGTTCATTTCTTTGCTTGGACAAGTAACAACTTATCTAGGTGTATTTTTTTAARTCAGTAAATAAGGTATGAATCAGATGATTCCCATTATACCTTCCATATTTCAAGAGAATCGATGACGCTATGACTTTCATGCAGAAGGATTAATTTTTATTGCTAAAAATGGTATTTATTAAACCCCAGGTTATTAGTTTACTGGGTTCTTAACCTTGGATTGCAAAACTGTATTAGGAGAATAGGTATTATGTTTAAAAAAAGATGACTAGTTCAACCCAGGCATATTGCTTCAGTTTTCGAAGGTGTTTAAAATAAACATGTTTTGAATATCTGGTCAATATTCTTATTTAAAGAAGCAAATTCAGTATTTYAAAAAATCTTGTGGGGAGGTCATATATTATAATAAATTGAAATTCTTTTTACCTAGATGAAATTACAGAAGCCAAATCAGGTACTGCTACTCCACAGAGATCGGGATCAATTAGCAACTATCGATCCTGCCAAAGGAATGACTCAGATGCTGAGGCTCAAGGAAAATCCTCAGAAGTTTCTCTTACCTCATCTGTGACCTCACTTGACTCGTCTCCTGTTGAGTTAACTCCAAGACCTGGAAGTCACACAATAGAATTTTTTGAAATGTGTGCAAATCTAATTAAAATTCTTGCACAGTAAGCCTAAAACCTTGCTTATTTCTTTAATAGCAATAAGCATGCATAGTAAATTATAGCTAAATGCTTCCATTTGTAATCAAGTTTTATATATATATATMWYATATATATATRWKATATATATAAATATATAATTATAACTAAGGATTGGCCTTTTGGAATGCAATTTGCACAGGGATTGAAATATGATTAATAGTTAAAAGCCTAATGTGCAGAAATAAATTAAGATCATTTTGTTGTTTGTTGTTCAATGGGTATACAGCATTATATAATACATACACAATGGATTATAGCTCTCAGGCTCACTTGATTTTTGGCTATTTTATATGTAGTATATATAGGGCTTTGTAGAATATTAATTTACCATAAAGGCCTTCATATATCCTTACATGTTGATGTGTTGCTTCATAAATTTATTCAACACATATTGCCTAGCATTTCCATAGAACTTTATAGGTGATATTGTTTTCTGGGATCCTCAAATTCTTAAATAGTATAAATAGTCTGGATAACTTCTTCTGTATCTCTTCAAATTCTATATTATAAGTCATATCAGATATTAGATTCAAATGAGAGTTTTTCTTTAGTTTGATAAGTCCGAATACACACAAATTTATATATTCAAAAACTCTAGGCACTAAGTTTAATCGTTAATTTGTCCCCCTAATGCTTTGTATATAAAGTACTCTATTTGCTTTAAGAGCTAGTTGCATATACTGTAAATAAATCATGTTTTTGCCAATTCCACAACTTATTCTGGCTCATCATGTCTGCCAGTATTGAATGTATGCAAAAATTTTTAATCATTTGATTGTGTATCTTTTAAATTGATTCAGGACATAGGAATACATCTTACAGACTTTAAATGCTTGGATCTGATTTTCCCTAAAACTATTTTCTGAACATGTTTTAAGAAAAAGTTGAAAGACTATATTGGTGAGCACATTTAGCTACTAATTAGATTCATTAATTAATGTTTTACCATATTTGATTTCTTTATATTCATATATGTATAAACATACAGGTATACATATATATTTTTGTGTTTATATATGTGCTTTTTTTCCTTAACTATTCGGATGCTATAGATGTTTATTATCCCTGAATACTTAAAGCATATCCAAAACATAATGATATCCTCCTTAAAAAAAAAAACTTATAAATCCATTGTAAAATTTATAATTCCCTAATATCTTCTAATGCTATTCTCCTGCCCCATCTGTCCTCCAAATTTTTTTTATAGCTTGTTGTTTCAAACCAGGATCCAGTTAAACCTTACACGTTGCATTTCATTATCTCTCTTTAGTCAGATATAACATTATTATTATTTCTAAAATGTGGAATAAATCAGTGCTTCTAAATGGTCAAGTTTGTTTCAGGTTTTATTACTTTTTTAAAAATTAGCATTATGGAAACTGTCTAAAAATGTTTACTCTTACTAAGATCCCTGATTTAKGTATTTTTTTCTTAGTAAAGAATCACATACCAGGAGTAAATGCAGATATTAAAAGTCACTTCAGATACATTCGGTATCATGTGTATCCTGATAAAAAATAAAAAATACTGTATTCTCCATATTTGCATTATATTATTTTAATTTAAATTGGGGTTGGGAATGTAACTCAGTGATACAGTGCTTGCCTGCCATGTGCAGGCCCTGGGTTCACTTTCCAGCACTGCATTTTATCATTGCAAGGGAGCTCCACCCCCTCCCCCTTGTATTAGAATGGTTTTTGGCAAATACAGTGAGCACTTATCAGATAATAATGTAATCAGATGTTGTGATAGTTTGCATAAATGGTTATTCTAGTTAATGGTGACTCCAGTACCTCTAGACTGCACTGAATTGAAAACAAAAATCTTGATTTTTTTGGGGGGTGGGTCCAGGGCTTGTTTTATTTCAACTTTGAGTTTGAAAGATGTATATAGTAATTGAAGTTCCTTTTAAATATGAGTTCAAAACTGTATTTATAACTTGTATGTAGTCCTCTGGGGGATATCGATTTACTTGGGCTCTCTGGAAGCAGCATTATATTACTGATGTTAAGAACAGAATATTGTATTTTTAAAGTTACAGATTTGTACATAGAACTAAATAATACTCTATAAACTCTTGTGAGGAGGAGAGAAAAAAGGAAGAACCAATTAAACAGGACCTTCTAAAAAATGTTAATTTTGTGAACTTTGCTTCTAAGTTATTGTGATTCATTTTAGTTATTGAGATTTATTTTGAAGATGTTTAAATATTGCACTTGTACAAATAGTATGGTAATGCAGATTATTKCGGTAAATTCTTTTTTAAGCTTAGACAATTTTTGGTTAAGTGTGTCAAGGTTACAACAGAATTTTCACAAATTTATTGTAGTTTGCAGATTCTTACTAATATTAAAGTTGTAAGGGAAGTCAATGAAAATGCTTTTTTAAAATCTTTTTTTATTATCTTTTCAGCAATTTATATTTTTTGTGATTTTATGCAACCATATTTTTACTTTGTCTTGAATGAAAGATGTATAAGGTTTTTGCCAGAAATGTACTGTATACATAGTTTTAAATATGACAGATTTTACTGATATGTAAAAATTTTGCCATTAAAATTGATTTCTCACTGAGAGGAACTTTTCTACCAAGTTGGGACATATAGGAGCTTAATATATCATATATAATTTAAAATAATTTCACTGAAATAAATACCATTGCTTTTACTTTGATTATATTTTTCTTAAGATACTTTTGTAGTTTTTCAGAGTTTTAGATAATTTTATATAAACCCCTTTCCTCCCTCCCTTGTGCTGCCCTTTTTGATCTTGTAGTGATACCATTCACACAGAATTAACACCTGGTAGCCTGTGGCTGGATGTAGAACTCCCTGCCATTTGTGTTCCAAGTGACACCATTGGAATGAAAAAAAATGTGTGTGGTCTAAACATCTTTTTCGTTATCTTCTTCCCCTACCTCCCCACCTAAATATGAATCTCAATTTCATTGTGAGTTTTCTTGACAAAATGAGTGAAATTCCACATATAACATGTAAATCAGAGGTAGGATAAAAATCAATCTRTAGTTTATGTATGCTTTGAGTATACAATTTCATAATAAAGAAAAACTTCATTTTTCATCTGTTAATGTCTTTCTTTTTTAACCTCTGGGAAAACTAAAAAGGGTGGGTGGTGGTGAGACAATTTATTCATGGCCAACTATCTGTATAGTGCTTGATCAAATTTGAGTACTTAAAATATTGTGATCTTTGTCTCCACTAAATTAGTTCCSATTTCATCTAGAAATCAACTACCTAAACAAAATGTTAAGATATACACACAGTAAAAGCTGTGGTTGTGGTTCAGTGGTAAAGGGCTTGCCTTGCATGTGTGAGGGAGGTGCTAAGGGTTTGATCTTCAGCACCACATAAAAATAAATAAAATGAACTTAAAAAAATAAAAAGAGCCAAAGCAGCTTCATTTATCAGTAGCTAACATTGGATTTGGGCCCATTACTGTTGGAATTCAGTTAGTACTAAATCTTGTATCCATACAATTCATCCTGCATTGTTATGCAGGGCTTTAGCTAGATTGTAGGCATTCTAAATCCTTAAAACAAGAGAAAACAATGTTAAAGAACATTATTAAAGAACATTATGAGTAACATATAGGTTCTTTTAGGGAAATTATTGCTCTTTGTATTTACTCTGTACAAATTTATACCAGGAAAGATTGTGTTTGAAAAATTAATATCTACTGAACTGTTTATTGTAAATGCTAAGTGATAAATTTAAATATTTTTTTAGCAACTTGGAAGATGTTCATGTTTGTCTCTAAAAAGAGTACAGGAAATGTGGTAAATAGATCAAAAGGTTAATAAAGATCATAGACCAAAGAAAGAACAGAAATGGTGGGCGATTGTAAATACTTTGTGGGAGGAAGCCTTTGTCAGACTAGAGGGGATCAAGATTAAATTACCTGAGGGATGTAGGAAACCCTAGAAAAGGGGCACAGCCATTTCCATTTCCCTCGGTAAACTGTTATTTCCTCATGCGGCCACTATGGATCAAGCACTACAAATGTGACCACAAGACATCCTGCTCTGAGCGTCTTGTTGGGGAGATTACATATATTTAAATGTTTTAATAGATTCTAACCTATAGAAAAGGGCACAAATCATAAATCTTGGACTAAATGAATTTTCAAGGTTTGCAGTGAACGTGGCCATGTCAACCTTTGCTCAGATTAAGAAATACTGCTGCCACCTTAGTGTAAGAGAAGCGATATGTTATTATTTATGCCCTGTTCTGTAGGTTTCACATGCCCTGGTGCAAGTGGGAAGGAAYTTCACAAAGGTGTGAATGTTAGGAGTGGGGTTCACTGGAGGCTAGCTACCAAAATCATACATTGGTCATTTTGAAAATATTACTTAAGCAGCTCTTACAAATGATGCATTTAATCAAACTAAATAGTCATATCTGATAACATCACYACTACTGATCCCATTAAATAAGTCTGGAAATATTCAGAAACTGTCAAGATCACGGTGGTGAGTACAGTGTTKTTTTTTTTTTTTTTTTCCCCAAAACCCTAATTTTTGCTTACAATCTTGAATTTTGTCATTGGTAGTAAACACTGTCAATTGTTTCTCTCTCTCTTTTTTTTTTTTTGAGAGAGAGAGAAGTTTTGTTTATTATTTTTTAGTTTTCGGTGGACACAACATCTTTGTTGGTATGTGGTGCTGAGGATCGAACCCGGCCCGCACGCATGCCAGGCAAGTGCGCTACCGCTTGAGCCACATCCCCAGCCCCTCAATTGTTTCTCTTGAAGTAACATTCTCCTTTTTATTATTTTCAGGAATGGTTTGTCAAACACAAGTCTTAATAAGCTTGTGAATGCTTCCAAATAAAAGTTGTGTTCCACGAAAAAGTATCTACTTCAATTTATAGCGCAGTCTCACAAATGCTTTTTTTTGAGACATCATACTTTAGTATACAGCAGAAGTACTTTATGAAGACTTCCCATTTTGTCACAGAATATTAAAAAATATATTTGCTGGGTGCGGTGGCACACATGCCTATAATCCCAGCGGCTCAGGAGGCTGGGACAGGAGGATCTCAAATTCAAAGCCAGCCTCAGCAACAAGATATTAAGCAACTCAGTGAGACTTTGTCMCTAAATAAAATACAAAAGAGGGCTGGGAATGTGTCTCACGGATTGAGTGYCTCTGAGTTCAATCCCCAGTACTCCCCTCAAATCCCCCCAGAACAAAAATGGACTCAGGAATCATTTTATTTATTTTTCTCTTTCTACGTTTTTTATTGGTGCATCATAGTTGTACATTTTGGTGGGATTTGTTACATATTCATATATGCACAATATAACAACAATTTGGTCAATATCACTGTCCAGCACTTCTCCCACTCCTTCCCACCTCCTGGTCCCTTTTCTCTACTTATCTCTTAAAATTCGTCACCTTTCTTTTCCCTTTCCCTCTCTGGCTTCCACATGAGAGAAAACATACAATCAAGGATCATTTTAACGCAATAATTTCTACTGCTTTGTCAATATTTTTGAGTGGTGGCACTTATTTTTCTTGCCACGAGTGTGTGGTGGAAGAATATGACAACCAGTAGAGTTCCCTATCATTTACCTTAATTCATTCTGAGGTGCCAGCAGTTTTGCCCCCTATTCCTTTTTAAGCATCACTTCAAATGTCAGCATTGTGAAAAGGGCAAATGATGTCTTCATGAGTATGAAAATGGTTTTGGCTTTGAAAAGGTCTTATGACTCTTAGGGGTTTGAGGATCACTTTTCAGGAATCATTGGTTTACATCAGAAATCCTCAATAAGTGAGTTTCTGGAAGAATTTTTCTTCTAGGGGATATTTGATATTCTCTGGGGAAAAGTTTTGGTTGTTATCATTGGTAATGATGGTGGTGAATATTAAATATAATGGTGGAGAGAAACCAGGGATGCTGCAAAAACACTCTACGATGCACAGGAGGCTCTTTCCTCAACAAAGAATGATCTAGTTCTAAATGTTAATATGTAGTGCTGAGGTTGAGAAGGTCTGGTTTCCAGAAATGGGTCTTCCTTTRTATAATATAAACTAACAGTCATCATTTTTCAATTTCCTGAACACCTGTTTCACATTTGCCCTCTCATTTTCCTTCATATATATATATTCATATGGTTTGATTTGAATCCAAGGAGAACATAAAGGCACATTGTAGCATAATCTGTTTCTCTGTAAAGCTTCTAAAGTACATTTACATTCAGCAGTTTAGCAACTCATATTTGCAAATTTACCTCCTCAACCAGCTTCATWGGGATATTATTGACAGATAAAATCACACATATATTTAAGGTGGACAAGGTGATTTTTAAAAATTTTTAGTAGTTGTTGAAAAAAATATATATATATAGTGCTGAGAATCGAACCCACACATGCTAGGCAAGCACTCCACCACTGAGCCACAACCCTAGCCCCCATGGTGATATTTTGATATACATTTTGAAATGATCAGCACAATCCAGCTTATAATATACCCATCACTTCACATGGTTACCTGAGTGTGTGTACACATTAGTCTTAACAGGTTTTTTTAGTTGTTGATGGGTCTTTATTTTATTTATTCTTTATGTGTTGCTGAGGATCGAACCCAGTGCCTCACACATGCTAGGCAAGCGCTCTACCACTGAGCCACAACCCCAGCCCACATATTACAGTCTTAATAACTATAGTCACCATGCTGTACCTTAGGTCTGCAGAACTGCAAACTTGAATCCTCTGATCAACATCCACCCATTATCCCCAGTCCCCAGCTCCTGTTGACTCTGTTCTACCCTGTTTCTGAGTCTGACTTTTTAAAGACGCTACACACGAGATTCGCAGTATTTGTCTTTCTGTGCCTGGCTTATTTCACCTAACATAATATCCTCCAAGTTAATCCATGTTGTTTCTGATGGCAGGATTTCCTTCATCTTTTTTTTTTTTTTTAATTTTTTTAAGGACTGGAAAAAAAAGTATGCGCGCGCGCGCACACACACACACACACACACACTATAATTTTCTTTAGCTATCTAGCAGTGAATTGCCCTCTTATTTTCTAGACATGATTCACAGATACTTTCATGTATTCTCTATTCTGAGTCCAATTTATTTGTTAATTCCCACATGAAGCCTACAGGTAAGCCATGAACCCTTACTGATCAATCCCTTGAATCTTTATTTTTTTTTTTCTTTGCCCTCTGCGGTGGCTGACCTCATCAGTTAGGTTGTAAAGCGCGTTAGAGCACCTTGCTTTACTTGCCTAATAGTTGTGCCTTGGGTCCAACCTGGTATCCTTTTTGGCTTCACTGTGATGTTTTCCTGCCCTCTCGCTGAGGTCACCCGCTCGCTGGCTCCGACTACAAGTCCCAGAAGGCATTGCAGATCCCGCTGCAGTGGCTTCTGGGATTTGTAGTCCGGGAGAAGGCGTCTGCGGCGGAGAAAGACCCCGATAGTCGTCATTTCTCTGCCAGCCTCTTTAAACTACTCGGACCTCTCTGAGGCTTCTCAACCCTTTTCTTCGTAGGTTAGAGAGCAAAAGTAGGCAGGTAAGGAGTCTGGCGTTTTAGTTTCCGCTTCCTGTGGCAAAGGGCAAGCGGAATGTAAACACGGGGCCGCGGCAGTGGTTATCAGGTAATTGGGGCTAGAGGTTGGCGGGGAAACCGGGGCAAGAGGAGGAAGACGAGGCGAGTGGGTGTTGTGGTTGGGGAGAAGGGGCCTTCAGGAGTCAAGAGGGGGTCCCGTTAGAGGGGTGGCAGGGCCAGGCGGGTGTGTCGGCCCTGCCTCACCGCCGCCTGGGTTGTTGCGCGGCGGCCGGCGACGTGGACCTTCCCGCGGCCGGGAGCAAGCGGCTCCCACTCTCGGCCGGGCCGAGGTCGGGGGCCCGTGGCGGCTCCAGCCAACTGGCGGCGAGGGCCGGGGCGGGCTTCATGAAGGAAAAGTCGCGGATTCAGCTCTCTCTTGAAGTAGCATTCTTGGATCACTCGTTCTCTGGGTTCCTCACCTCTGAAGACGTCTCCACCCGGAAGGATGCGGCGGCGACTTCCTGTGTCCACACAGTGTTTTTTTGCCCTGAGGCCCGCGTCCTCGGACCCGGTCAGGAATGACATTTTACTCACCCACAGGCTTTCTCCTTCTCCTGGTTGAGCAAGATGTAAAGCTGCCAACTTACCGAGCGCCTACTACACGGGTCACGGCTGGTGAAAGACATCAGAATACAACGTCATTATTTAGAATTTTTATGGCACTCATTAAATATACTTCTGTATAAAATGTTTTTGAGTTTTTCGGGTTTCATGAGTTTAACATGAAACCTGTATGATTGTGACTTCTTCATATGGTTTCTTATCCTGGTGAAAAAAATGTTAAGGCTAGCGTGTTGGTACCTTGTATATCTAGCTATAGATTTAGGAAAACCTCCTTTTGTAAGTTATAATTTTATGTTCAGATAACCTTAAAGAAACGATAATTTCATACTATTTATCTTTAAAGAACAGCTCTATTTAGKTAAAATTGATGTCTCATGCAGTTCACCCATTTCAAGGATATATGGTTCTTAGTTGTGTCACCAATTATGGAACATTTTAATCACATAAAATGGAAATTCTGAAATCATTAATAGGCCTTTCCCATCATCTCCCACCAGCAGCATTTAAGCTATCCAGGTCAAATCGAAGTGTTCAATTTTCCCTGGGGAAGGTATTTCACATATTCCAGGAACTCGCTCCTCTTTTTAAGCCTGGTTAACTTTTATCTTTTAAAACATAAAGTTCTCTCTAAATACTCAAGTGTCCATTCTCAAATATCATGACATCCTTTGATTACTTTTGGTTATACTTTCATTGTTTCAAGACATTTTTGAAGAAAATATAAAACTGTGGTAATGGCTTTGAATGAATAAAAGATTCATGCTTTTATCCTCTAGGCCCTTGATACTGTTCGGTGTTTTTACTTATTCCTTATTGTTGTATCTTTCCTAATCCCCATAGTGACTACTTCAGATCTTCTCATTTTTTCTCAAGACTTAGATCCATTTATTTTTACTCTACTTTGAGCAAACGACTGTCTCCCATTTCCTTGAGAAAAATGAATTGTGGGGAACATGAAATTCTTTTTCTTTTTCCTCCATCTCTGAACTCTGCTATAGGTTTCACTCAGTATTAGCTTCTCTTTTGCAAGATATGTTTTCTTGTTCCTCTCTTCAAGGTGAATCTTGTCAATTTCTTGTGTCTTCAGCCCTCCTATAATTTTAGAGCTTTATTCTGTCCTGACCTCTCCAGCCTTTGACTTTGAGGAATTTGTGGGGGAGAGTGACAAACATTTGAGGAAACAAGGTGTGGCTTTTTCATACACAATTGAGAATTGTGTCCTCAGTATGATAACGGTAGTTTGGGTTAGAAGATAGGAATGGTAATGGAAGTCCGATTGATCCAAAAATTTGGAAAAATATCTGAAACAGTCACTGTGGATTTACCTTTTTCCTTTCCTCCCTATCATATCCCCTGCTCCTAATAATCAACAGATGTAACCAGTGATTTTTAAGGTAATTTGCCKGCAGTAAGCATGCCAGGTTTCTGTTACTATTAGTAGAGCTATTACACTGCCTGATGCTCTACATTACTAATATAGAAACAGAGCTCTGTGTGGAAACTTGAAACTGGAAAACTTAATCATCATCCTTGTTACTTTTCGGACAGTCATAAATCTATGACTTCTTTCTTATCTTGCCTTTTTCATATCTTGTGAGGCCCTTCTAAGAATCCATTCCCTCAGGGTTTCTTCTCTGTGCCTCTGGACTTTTGATCCATACTAACCACACTTCTGTATTCAGCCATTTCTTGGTTCTTCCCTTAGAATATGTATAGTCATGTTCAGACATCGAAAACTCATTCTCCCWTGTTGTGATGGGTCTGGGGAAAAGTTTACATTGTCCTAGCATGATTTATAATCCATCACTTCTCCAGGTTTTTCTAAAAATCTGTGTTCCTCTGTAAAATGTGTTTCACTTATATCAGCTTGTGCATTTCATTGGCACTTTCTCATATTCAGTAGAACTTAGTCCCAGGACCCACAATTTTCTTACCCCTTCAATGCTGCTATTATTTAGGGCTTTTCCGTGTGAATGATCTCACAGCTATGCTCATCTTTTTTTTCCTTTCTTTAGTGATTACTTTCACTTCACCCAAGTGTGGCAAGGTTAAAGATCTTCACATCTGTCTGCTAGAACTTACTTGTTTACTGTTTCATTTCTTTCCTTCCTTTACTCTTAAAATGCCTATTCCTTGATCCTATCATATTTAATTTTTTTTTGTGATACTGGGAATCAAAGCTAGGACTTTGTGTATGCTAAGAAAGGACTCTACCACTGAAYGATGTCTGAGTCCTTTTAAAAAAATTCTCAGTTTTGAGGCAGAGTTTTGCTAAATTGTTTAGACTGGCCTCAAACTTACAATCCTTCTGCGTCAGTCCTCCTAAGCAGGCATGYGCCACTGCTCCTGACTTGTTTAATCAATTCAAAGAGCACTTGGTGCATTTTTCCCCCCTGTCCCTCTATTTGGTCAATCAGTTCACCTAATCTCCTTGGGGTTATAAACTTCTGTATAAATGGAATGAAAGCTTACATACTCTTCCCCAGTGCACGTTGTATAAAAAATTTATATACAATCCAAAGGATTCTTCAGTATCTTGAAGTCCATCTGTGCAACTAGTAAATTGTGGGATCCCTTATTAATTCCCTCTTTAAACAAATACTTGTTGAATGCATCTAGTATTTTCTTTAACTTTGTTCTTTAGTTTTGCTTTCATATCCCTTACATTTGTATTATTGCAGATTTACAAAAGCAGTTTAACTTGTCTTATTTTTTTGATTTGCCCAATAGTTCTGTGAGTTAAGTCATTTATAAGCTTATATCTTTTAAACTATATTTGTTTTAAAAATTTTTGATATATATGAAAGGAGAGAGAAAAGTACTCCTATGTACTTATCACTCAGCTTCATTAGTTATTAATTCAAAGCAGTCTTATTTCATTGATATCTTCCTCTCTACTGAACTCYGCACCCCAATGATTACTTTGAAACAATTTTTAGATATTGTATAATTTTATATGAAATATTTCTGTAATTTATAAAAGACAAGGGTTCTTTTTATAAATATGATCATAATACTCTTATCATACCTAAAATATAGCAGTAATTTTTTAATGTTGTTAAATATCAAATCAATTTTCTTCTCTTTTTTGTCATAAGAGGGTTTTTTTTTTTTTAACTCTTGGCTTTTTTGAACCAGGAGTAGAACAAAATGTACACATTATGTATGTCTTTTAAATTTCTCAAGCTAGGGGTTACTGCCTTCTTTCATCTTTCTGGCAGTTAATGTCTTGAAGAAACCAGTTTTTTTGGGGGGGGACACTGGGGGTTGAACTCAGGGACACTCAACCACTGAGCCACATCCCGAGCCCTATTTTGTATTTTATTTAGAGACAGGGTCTCACTGAGTTGCTCAGCACCTCTTTGTTGCTGAGGCTGGCTTTAAACTCGAGATCCTTCTGCCTCAGCCTCCTGAACCTGGGGGATTACAGGTATGCGCCACTGTATGTGCCACTGCACCCGGCTAAGAAACCAGTTTTGCTTCTCTTGAGTTTCTGTTTTCTGCTGCCTGTGTCTCTGATGTGTTATTCAGTATGCTTAACTGTATCCATATGTTTTTATAAACTTTCTTAGAGGGCTGATGTGATTGAGGATTAGTTTTTGTAGACCAGCTTTCTGGATGGTGTGCTGCTTCCATTAAGAATTGCAGTAATGTGTAATGTCCAGTTGTCTTTCTTGGTGATGTTAGCAGCCCTTGATGATCATTGCCCAGATCTACTAATTGAGAATTGAAAAATGGTGATAGTCTAARCCTGCTACTCTTTATTCACCTGTTAGTTGGAATACTTTTATAAAAGGCTAAGGTCAAATTTCATAATTTTTCTTTGTAATTTTCCAGCATGGCTTCCTTTGGGTGGAAGAGGAAAATTGGTGAGAAGGTCTCCAAGGCCACTTCACAGCAATTTGAAGCTGAAGCTGCTGATGAGAAAGATGTAGTTGAGAATGATGAAGGAAACTGGCTTCATGCCATTAAACGTAGGAAAGAAATTCTCCTTGAAGGCYGTACTGAGAAAAGTAAACAGCTGAAGGATGAAGGAGCCAATTTGGCTGAAAATAAAAGGTAGGTTTTGGAAATTTTCTTATGGTGCAATTTGTTTCACTCCCAGTCTGTTTTGTTGTCAGTAATGGAACAAAGAGTTACAAATTCTGTAAATTCATGTTTTTTTTTTCATTTTTTTATTAGTTGCACATGACAATACAATGTTTAAACCTTTTTTATTTTATTTTTTTTTAAATCTTACTTTATTTGTTTTTTTAAGATACACATGACATTAGAATGTATTTTGGCATATTATACATACATGAAGTATAACTTATTCTAATTAGGATCCTATTCTTGTGGTTATACATGATGTGAAATTACCCTGGTTGTGTATTCAAATACAAAGATAGGAAAGTTATGTCTGATTAATTCTACTGTCATTCCTATTCTCCTACCCGCTCCCTTCTCTTTATTCCCCTTTTTCTAATCCAGTGGACTTCTATTCTTCTCCTCCACACCCTCCCTTGTTGTGGGTTAGCATCCACATATCAGAAAGCAGATTCTGCCCTTGGTTTTCTGGGACTGGCTTACTTCACTTASTATGATAGTCTTCAGTACCATCCATTTACTGGCAAATGCCATAATTTCATTATTTTTATGAGTAAGTAATATTCCGTTGTTTATATGTATCACATTTTCTTTATCCATTCATCTGTCGAAAGACACCTAGGTTGGTAACATAGCTAGGCTATTGTGAACTGAGCTGCTATAAACATTGATGTGGCTGTGTCCAAAACAAAACAAAACAAAACAAAACAAAACAAAACAAAACCACCCTACAATAACAACAATGAAAAACTTTTAGGTGTTACACTGAAAAAAGAAGATATTTCAAAGTGATATAAACATTCCCATTTTCTGGGGGAAATGAAAGTTTGTAAAAATTGTCTTCAGGATGCTTATAATGTCTGCTTTACTATCATTTTGTTCTATATAAATAGAAGTAAATGCTAAGTGAAATGTTCCACACCATGCGGCCTGCGCAATGGTTTCATTAATGAGGTTCTTGGCATAAAAGTTAGCTAGAAGAGATTGAAATAAAACACACAGACTCAGTTACCTTATTTCTATTGCCGGGTCCGAGACGGCTCCCCTCTCTGGTTCCCTCCTCTAACCGCCCAGCAGGGCAGCAAGAATTACTCAGGGCTAGCAGGAGAGAGAGAGTTTGAACACGCCTGAGAGTAGCTTTTTATTGGGGAACAAGAGATTCAGGGGAGAATTCCATCCAATGAAGGTTGAGGGGGGACTGCACTCCAAGGTCAGGGTCAGTGATTGGGCCCCCGGGGTCAGTGGTCAGGCACACCCCCACACGGATGGGTTCTCTCATCAGGAAAGGGCCGGGAAAGTTCCAACACAGCCAGAACACTTCAGACCCTTAACGGGAGCCACCCAATCACGTGTCAGAATGGCTTCCCACAAAATGTAATCCAATTTATTGGTTAATAGAAGATGGTTTAATCTCTGAAAACTTTTCCTTATGATGTTATGTAAAGTCAGGCATTTCCCAAACAGTTTTGAGGGAATATACATTTAAAAATAATACTTAGTTTTCATTTATCATTTACATACTGTATCTTTTAGTAAATATGACATGGTGTGCAGGAATTTGATAATAACTGCATTTATTTATAACCCTTCCTGAATTAAGCTCTTATACTTCTCCTGTATGTGCCTGCTTTTTTTCTCCTTTGCTGTTTCTTAAGTACTTTTTACCTTTCACTTGTTAGATTATTCAGTGGGAATGAAGGTCATTCTAACACACAAATTAGTGGTGAAAAGATAAATTGTTTAGTAGAGTGTTGAGACATGACTTATGGATGAGTACAGACCAGTTTTTTATTTGGTTGTTTCTCTGTATCTGTCATTTAATTCCATCCTTTGTTGTGTATATTTCTTATAAATTGAAAGTTAGGTGGAGATAATTGATTTAGAGTTTCCATTTTTTAGCAAGAATATGTTATAGGTAATGTTTTTGCTTTATATTGCTTCATATTGGGAGATAAAGCATAAGGTTGCCCTCTGTTAGAGCAGCCATTGGAAAGACATTGTAATCCTTTCTGTTTGTTGTGTTTGACATCTGTTGAGAGGCATATTTTTATAAAACTATTTTTTTCCTTTTTAAAATTTTCAGTCCTAGGGAACAAATCTTAAGTCATTGGTTTTTAGTGAAGCAAATATATTAGGAAAATTGTACTTAACAGTATTAGAGACCTAGGGGTGTAGCTCTGTGGTAGAGTGCTTCCTAGCATATACTAGGCCCCGTGTTTGATCCCTAGCAAAAAAAGAAAAGCAGTATAAGATCTGTTGATAAATTTACACTAAGTATATGCTTTTTAGAAGCTACACCACACACACACACACACACACACACACACACACACACACACACACCTAGTAGGAGTAGTATCTGATTTTTTTTTTTTTCAAATACTAGGAATTGAACCCAGGGCCTTGTGCATTTTATAAGCATGTACTCTATTTCTGAGCTATATATCCTTAGCCCTGGGAGAAGTATCTGAGACAGGCCTCTGAATACTGTTCATATAAACATGTAGAATCAGGCTTGTGTGTTGTTGACTGGTATCTGCCACGTGGTAGTGAAGAGTTTGAGAAATTGGGTCGGGGGACATGAAGTAATATTTAGGAAGAAACACCTTTTTAAATTTTTTTTTTAGTTTTCAATAGATCTTTTTGTTTTATTTATTTATATGTGGTGCTGAGGATTGAACCCAGGGCCTCACCATGCCAAGCAAGTGCTCTACCACTGAGCCACCATCCCATTCCAAGGAAGAAACACTTTTTTCTTTCTGTTTTTTCAGAGTTACAAGAGTAGTTATAAGATTCCTTGTCAATCATGTTTTTCATTAATGAGTTACTGAGTTGAGGAACCAACACACTTGTTTCTAGTTCTGTTTTTCATTTTGATTCTAGGATAGTTTTTAATTATACTTTAATATAAAACAAATCAGTGCATAAAGTGTAATATATTATCATCTCAAATTGAAAATGAAGGGTAGTAGTCAAGATCTGTGAACCACACACACACAGCCTAATGTTAGATTGTGAATTCTCATTTGTGGCATGTTAAACATAAAAAGTTATTTTTTATAGAACGTTGCAAAATTATGGCACACATCTTTAATCCTAGTGACTGGGGAGGCTGAGGCATGAGGATCACAAGTTCCAGGCTAGCCTGTGCAACTTAGGCCCTAAGCAACTTAGTAAGACCCTGTCTCAAAGTGAAAAAAAAAAAAAAAAAGAGCTGGGGATGTAGCTTAGTGGCAGAGCATCCCTGGGTTCAGTCCCAAGTAAGCAAAAAATAACTATAAAATCGGCTGTTCTGTCATAGAAGAAAACCAAATGTAAATTTTCCACAGTTATGAAATCAATTTTATAATATCCATAAAACATCTTAAGAAATTCCTGTAAATGCCTGTTAAAAGTTCATTAATGTTGTTTTTGCCTTTTCTCTAAACCACACGAGTATGTATGTACAAGGGAAAAGCTATTAAATTATTGCCATGGGATTCCTTCTGAATTTCCTGTGGTAGTGGAGAGATATCAACTTTGTAGATAAACAAAGGAACTTTTCTGCCTGGGTGTTGTAATATTGAGCCATTTCACTAAAATCAGCTGGATTGGATGCTTTGTTTTGAATGGAGAACACTGTGGGGTGATTAATTTTTTGCTCTTTACCTTTTGTTTTGGAGTTATATATACACAGCTTTGGAGAAATAACTAAACAGAATTAAAGGAATCTAGTGAAATTTAGTAGTTCAGCTATTCTAATCCAAACAAAAATAGGAATAATAGTTTAAAAATGCTAATGAGAATATTAAAGTCGACTAAAAGTAATATGAGAAGGAATAGTGAAATTAAATAAAAAAAAGTAAAACGGCCCATCAAATCAGCTTCATTTAACCACTGTCAATTTCACTACATTTTAGCCATGTTGGCTTTCTTCCTCATTTTGTCAGTGTAGCTCTTACACAACTTTGTGTGACTCTGCAAAACTCTCTTGTATTTTCTGATGTCTGTTTTCCTGTTCTTCAGATCTCTGCTCACATGTCATGTTCTTGGTAAGCTCTTCCTGATTAGCCAGTTTAAAATGGCACCCTCATGCTCCCTCTTGCTCCATAATATCATCGTGTTTTATTTTCTTTTAGTATTTCTCTTTATTTAAAATGACCTCATATGCTTATTTAGCTGTTTGTTTGTATGTTATTTTTCCTCTGTAGAAATGTAAGCTTTAGGATGGTGAGCACTTTATCTGACATATTGTTCTGTATCTTCAGCTCTTAGAATAAGTGGTGGCACTTATTATTAAGCCTGAAGTAAATATTTATAAAACTGTCATTATTTGGCTATTTTTTGAAGAATAGGTTTTTGTGGGCTATCGTTGACTGTTTTTATCCATAGAATATATATTTTTACTCCAAATTAGGATACTGTATTCTGGGAATATTTTTTTTATTTTAATTTTTAAAAAAATATTTATTTTTTAGTTTTACGTGGACACAATATCTTTATTTTGTTTTTATGTGGTGCTGAGAATCGAACCCAGTGTCTCACGCATGCTAGGCGAGCGCGCTACCACTTGAGCCACATCCCCAGCCCCTGGGAATATGTTTTAATTTATACCGTAACCACAAAAGTCCTTTGGGAACAGAATTTTCCTACCTCCATTCTGCATTTTCCTACCTCCATTCTCCATTCTCTGAGAATATGGCACTTGAGAGTAATTGTGCTATTTTTAGTCTCATTCCTTTTCCCAATAAACCCTATACTCCTCAGTCCCCCATCTTCTGAGTTATTTTGTGGAAGAAGCCTTTATTTATATAATAGGAAAATAACAATAAGTTTTACAGTATAGTGATTAAGGATTTGGGCCTTAGAGATACATTGCCTTGTTTTTTTTTTTTCTAATTCTGACAGTTTCTAGCTTTATAATATTAGGCAAGTTATCCAGTCTATGTTTAGGTTTCTGTTTCTGCCCAAAATTACATACTTCACAATGT